TACTTAACCTGAGAGGAGCTGCCACCCTGGCTTAGTATATTAAACTTCCACTTGTGGTGCCAGCATTCCATATGGGCTGCTCCACTTCCCATCCAGCTCCCTGCCAATGTGCCTGGGAAGGCAACAGAGGATGGCCCAAGTGCTTGGGCTCCTGGCCTCAGATTGGCCCAACTGATGCCATTGTGGCCAGTTGGGGAGTGAATCAACAGATGGAAGAGGTCTCTCCTCTCTCTGTAAATCTGCTTTTTAAAAAGATGAGCCAAAGATAGTTTTCAGAAGAGTAAACCCAAAGAGAACAAGAGGAGATGTGTAGGGACCAGCATTGGAGGGCTGTGGGTTAAGCCTCTGCTTGCTCTGCTGCTGCTCCACATCAGAGAAGAGGTTTGAATCTTAGGTATTCTGCTTCCAGTCCAGCCTCTTCCTGAACATGCCCAGGAAGGCAACCAGAGATGGCTTGGGTCACTGCTGCCCAGCAGCATGGCCTTCCTGGCTCCTGGCTTCGAGCACACCCTGGCTGCTGTGGTCATCTGGCAAGTAAACTGGTGGACTAAAGGTCTTCTAGTCATTCTGCCTTTCAAATCAACAACAACAAAGAGAGCTGTGTAAGGTTATTCATGAGCAGATGACACGCGAAAGCAACAGTCAAGTACTACTTTATGCCTTTTAGACTAGCGGTAACACCAAGCCTGCGCATAGCCCTTCACGCTGCAGCTGGGGGCAGCGGGCACAGGTATCTACAGGAGAGTGCCACTTGTACCCTGTGGCCTAGCGACGTCATCCTGGGGTCAACCCCTCCCGCGTCCTCAGAATTAGGGTGCACTTACATTGCACCCTATACACATGGAGACCTCGTAATCTGTACCCGGGGATGGCTAAGTAAAGGATGTGGTCTCCCACCACATGTCACTTGGCAATACAGCACTTAGTGGGGGAAAAAAAAGCATGAAAACCATCCAACACAATATGACACCTACATACTTTATACAAACACACGACAGACCTTATTTAGATGAAAACAACATGGGCTGGCTTTGTAGCACAGCAAGTTAAGCCACTTCCTATGACGCCAGCTGTCGCTGTCCCGCAGCGATGGACTTGGCGCACGGAGCTGATAACACGCGTGGACCGAAGTTTATTAGTGACATCAGACTTTTTACACTGAGAGTCCATGGGGGGGGTGGTAAGGGAGGAAGTATTGAGCTTGTCAACAAGACCCATCAACTGTTTTCATACTCTTGATTGGAACTCCTGTTGTTTTGTATATTCCAGCAAGTGTCCATTCACAGGCTGTGAATGAACCGTTCTCTTTTAAAAAAATTTTTTTTAAAGATTTATTTTTATTATTTTTAATTGGAAAGGTGGATACACAGAGAGGAGAGACAGAGAGGAAGATCTTCCGTCCGATGATTCACTCCCCAAGTGAGTGCAACAGCCGATGCTATGCTGATCCGAAGCCAGGAGCCTCCTCCGGGTCTCCCACGCGGGTGCAGGGTCCCAAAGCTTTGGGCCGTCCTCGGCTGCTTTCCCAGGCCACAGGCAGGGAGCTGGAAGGGAAGCAACCGGCGCCCATATGGGATCCCGGGCATGCAAGGCGAGGACCCCAACCACTTGCGCCACCGCGCTGGGCCTGAATGAACCATTCTTATACAAATGATCTCCCATCAGGTATACAAAAGGTAGCCATTCGGTTGTTCTCATGCAAATACTGTCCACTAAACTGTAATCCTGTGCTCGCTGACCTTCTAGGGTCACAATGTCCTATAGCCAGCGTCCCATATAATCACTATTTTAAGTTCCAGTGGCTCCACCTCTGATGCAACTCTCTGCTAATGAACCTGGGAAATCAGCAGACGATGACCCAAGCGTGTGGGTCCCTGCCACCTGCACTTGATGGCAGACCTGGATGGAGCTCCCTGTCCCTGACTTCAGCCACAGCAGCCGTTTAGGGTGTGAACCTGCAGGTAGAAAATCTGACTGCCTTTCAAATACATAACTAATCTTTAGGAGAAGAAAACAACCATAGAAGGACATTTTGTGACAACTCAGAGAACTCTGAGCACAAAAGCTGATGGTGACAGTGAAATTCAGTGGGAGTGACGTTAGGGCGCAGTACGTGAGCAAGAGAAAGGAAGGGCTCAATGAAATGCTGGAGAATGGGTTCCTGGAGCTCACCGCCAAAATTCTCTGCATTTGTGTCTTACTGGAAATGTCCACAATAATAAAAAAAATCAGAATGGGCCCAGCGTGATGGCTCAATTGGCAAATACTCCTCTTGCAAGCACCAGAATCCAATATGGGCTAAAGTTGGCATCCTGGCTGCTCCACTTCCCATCCAGCTCCCTGCTTATGCCTGGGCAAGCAGCAGAGGACGGCCTCAAGCCTTGGGACGCTGCACTCGCAGTAGAGACTCTTCTTAGAAGAAGTTCCTGGCTCCTGATCAGCTCAGCTCGGCCATGGCAGCCATTTAGGGAGTGAACCAACAGGTGGAAGATCTTTACCTCCTATCTGTGTATCTGCCTTTCCAATATAAAATCAATCTTTTTTTTCTTTGTCCAAAAGAGAGTCATTTTATTGTTATGAATACCTCTGTTGCAGGATTTTTGACTCCGAGTATGGCAGCAGCCTCAAATTCTTGTCTCGCAGGAAAGAAGAATTTTCATGCGTCACAGTTTAGTTTTAACGCAAGATTTATTAGAAAAACTGAGAAGACTCCCGTCCTAGTGACGGAAGGGGGCTTTGAGATAGAAAGGACCCTCACCCCCTGCCATAATGGCAGGAGGAAAAGGACCCCAGTGCTCTGCCATAGTGGCAGGAAAATAAGAACCCGTATTGATGGCGGGGGAATGCTCCTTTTAAAGGTTTCCCTCAAAGATGTTTCTCCATAAACAAAGAAAATTCCTGGTTTCCATGGTACCTGGCCTTGGGACAAAAGGTCACAGAGATACCAGACATAGGACATTCCAGGCCTTAGGCAGAGGTGTATTACTCCTTTCAATGATAAAGAGATCAGCCTGAGGCCCTCCCACAATAGCCAGAGGGGATGGCCGATACTTCAGGTGGGGAATTGATATGCTAATAGCACCCCTGTCCCTTGGAAGAAACGTGCTCTGGTGAATCCAAGACATGGTGGGGAAATTCTCTTTTTACTCGGGGGACCCAGAATACCCTAACTGCCTACCACCCACTCTAACTCCTCTCTCACCTCCACAGATATGCACATGACTACTAAGAAAGCACAGAGCTCCAAGAAGAAAATTATTAAGATCATAAGTTGACAACTCACTTAACTGCAAACTAAAAAACAAAATATGCAACTGTGATAGTATTCATCCATTTCAGTAATGGAAGATGGAAAACAAAACTATATTTATTAAATGATCTCAGGTTGGAAGACATGGAACAGAAACATTACATGATCACAAATACTCCAGAAGGGAATTTATCAAGCCACATGACGCACCTTCACATAGATAATCTTTCTGACTCAGGAATTCCTTCCAGTACTCCATTCTAAGGAAATGAACAGGAGGAGGGAAAAAGACTTGCACGAAAATGACTTGTTATTGCCATTGCTACTCATGAATTGCAAATCAATTATCCAATGCCTATAACATGAGGAAAGGGTCAGAAAATGTTGAACAGGTAGTATGAATTTCAATGAACAAAATACAGCAAGCATAAAAATATGGAACGCTTCACGAATCTGCATGTCATCCTTGCGCAGGGGCCATGCTAATCCTCTCTGAATCATTCCAATTTTAGTATATGTGCTGCTGAAGCGAGCACAAAATAGATCTTAAAAATATTTTTTTTAAGATGTACTTATTTGAAAGCTAGCTACAACAGCCCGCCAGAGCTCTGTCTGCCACGTGGGTGGCAGCGGCCCAGGGGCCCAGGGGTTTGGACCATGTCCCTACACCCTTTCAGGCACATGGTTAGCAGGGAGCTGGAATGGAAGTGAAGCAACTGGGAGAGGAAGAAGCGCCAAGCTCCCAGCTTTGGATCAGTTTGCATCAGTTCAGCTCTGGCCTTTGTGGCCATTTGGGGAATGAACCAGCAGATGGAAGATTCTCTCTAACTCTGCCTTTCAAATAGAAATAAGTAGATATCAAATTAAAAAGGCCATGACTAATAAAGCACCCCTCAGCCCATCCATCTCTATCTATGTCGAAGCTTGGTTGAGGGGTGAGAGGGAGCCACTTGGATGTGCCACCAGGAGGTGTCCTTGGGCGGCAGCTGAATTGGGAATCCCGGTGGCACAGACCTGCAGCAGCGTCGTGTGTGGACATGGAGTCTCTCAGGGTCCCTGACCACCAAGTGTCTCCCCCAAGAGGCTCACCGACGGACAGCAACTGTGGTGGCCACACAAAGGGGACGCCAACCCATACGCATGCAAGAGCGAAACAAGCGCGCCCCAGGGCAGCAGCCTAGGCACAACAACATCCTTCACACCTGTCCTGTTTCCTGCCCCTTGGCTCTGTTTCTTCACAAAGGTATAACAGATTTACAATTAAGAAGAATAATAAAATTAAGTTTTTTTCAAATGTAAAATTCTAATTATGTTTAAAATGCTATTAAAAAAAAAAAAAGCCTAGGTTGGCTTATACAAGTGGCGCGCTGCCCCAGACGGCGCCCCCAGGCAACTCACCAGGACCAGTCGTGGGCAGTTACCTAGGAGATGAGCCTTTGTCATCAGGCACCCCCCTCCCGCCGGATAGCACGGTCCATTGTGATGGTGAGCGACGACTCGCCCCCCCCAGCTTCCGACTTCGCCCAGACAGTGGTTGCGTCCGGAACCCTACTGACGCCTGATTTGCCAACCATCTTCGAGGGCGGTGATTGGCTAACTAGGGCCGAGGGCGGGCTGACCTCTGCTCCGCAGCCTTCGTCAGCAGCCGGCCCCGCCCCCCGTCATTTAAAGGAGGCCTCGGGATTGGCAGCCCGGCTCCCGCGAAGGGGCGGGGTCGGAGGAAACGCACACTCGCGCGTGCGTGAGCTGGCGCGCCAGAAAGGGCCCGGTCGCGCCGAGGCTCGAGCGGCCGTCGCCATTTTGTAGGGTTGTCTTCTGACGCGGGAGCCGCCGCCACCGCCGCCCGCCGCCCGGAGGTACGGACGGTGTTCGTCGGGGTGTGTTGGGGAGCCCGGGGACGGGCTGGGTCTCTGGCGGGACGGGGATGGCAGGGGATTTCAGCTCGTTCCTTCGTCTTGAGACGGGAGGTGCCAGGGAGAGACAACGGGAGGAGGCGGGGCCGCGAGTCCGGAGGGGGCGGGGCAGGGGTCGGGTCGAGCCTTTGTTGGGGTGTCGGAGCTGGAGAGTGGGGTCCCGGCGTGGGGCGAAGAGGGGGATCCGAGGACCTTTTTATTCCGGAAAGATGATAGCGCACGGAGGGGGCGGAGAGACACCCGGGTTTCCCTCCAAAACCCCATCACCCAGGGGCGCTCCGACGCTTCTCGCTTCTGCCTGGACTTTTTTTCCTATGGGGGGGAGGGGGAACACGTGACCCCGGCGCCCCTGTTCCCTAAGGCGCCTCATGTGCTGCCGACCCCGACGTCCCCTTTTCGCGTGTCCCCACGCAGCACACACTGCCCCTCAAACCAACCATCGCTTCCCGTCTGGCAGGAGGAGGGAAGTCCTTGGGTGACAGGCTGGAAAGGACCGGAAACTTTTGTAGGATTAATGTGAAACCCTGTGGGGTGTTCACTCCCAAACCTCTCCAGGCCCCAGTTTCTTTAAAAAAAAAAAAAAAAGAAAAGAAAAAAATCTGGTTTGGTGTGTGCCAGGCTCTTGTCCAGGATGGTGAAGCTGTTCATCGGCAACCTGCCCCGGGAGGCCACGGAGCAGGAGATCCGCTCCCTGTTCGAGCAGTACGGGAAGGTGCTGGAATGTGACATCATCAAGAACTACGGCTTCGTGCACATCGAGGACAAGACGGCGGCCGAGGATGCCATCCGCAACCTGCACCACTACAAGCTGCACGGCGTGAACATCAACGTGGAAGCCAGCAAGAACAAGAGCAAAGCCTCGACCAAGCTACACGTGGGCAACATCAGCCCCACGTGCACCAACCAGGAGCTGCGGGCCAAGTTCGAGGAGTACGGGCCGGTCATCGAGTGTGACATCGTGAAAGATTATGCCTTCGTGCACATGGAGCGGGCGGAGGACGCGGTGGAGGCCATCAGGGGCCTTGATAACACAGAGTTTCAAGGTGAACTGGGGGAGGGGGTGCTGGCTGCGGGCTTGCCCCCTGGGCCGGGCAGGGTGGGCACCTCATCGTGTTTTCCGCTCTTAAGCGTGATTCCGTGGGCTTGCCGAGCTCGCCTTGCACAACGCTGCATCGCCCACCGCGGGCTCCGTGATCCCGTGGGGCCCCGGGCATCCCTGGCTGTGGTTTTAAACACGGTTTGTATTCATATTGCCCCTGGGAAAGAGGGCCAAGAATGCTTAGAGGAAGCCCTGCATGGGCGGGCAGGCCGTGGCCACAGGGGAGAAAGGGCGTTCGTGAAAGTGCTCGGGCTGCGCGACAGCGTGACCCTCCTGAGGGGCTTCCGGTCGGGCCACCTGAGAAGATGGGCTTTATTTAGGCCATGTCGGCATGACTGTCACATGAAGGTGGCATGTACGACTCCAGAAGCGTGTTGTGTCATCAGGGTGCCACTAGCCACCAGGTCTGTAAGTGCACCAAGTCGGGCTTTACTGCTGGGCGTGGAAAGCAGGGCGGAACAGAAGTGAGAGAAAAGGCAGAACTGAGCAGAACGATCTAAGAAAGTTTGAGCACTGTCACGTGTCCCTCACTTCAGCCTGTCTGGTTCCCAGCACGCACCCTGCACCCCTCCTTGGCCCTTGGTGCTCTGCAGGGGTGGGGGACCTTTGGGGCAGAGCTCGTGTGGCTGTAACATCTTCGCAGGCCTTACAGAATGATTCACGGTGTCACCTTGTGCCTGTGGTCGCACTGGTGCCACACACAACTTCCCCCCTGCAGAGAACGTGGCGGGGCTTTCAGGTGCTCAAGCTCTCTCAACTTCATTTTCCCTGTTTGCAAATAGTTGATGATTGCTGCCAGCCGTGCCTCACGTCACAGGAGGGTGGCGAGGCTGGGGGACAGTGCTGCTGAGGCACCATGTGGTGACCGGAGTGGCCGCACCCACGAGGGTTTCTGCTGTGCTTAGAAAGGTATTTAAATGCGAGCTAAGCTTGCTTATTTACGTGTCTCTGCGTTTTTAGTGTAAAATGAGGAAGAATTCTGCTGATTTCACTAGCACGGTACTATTTGCCGTTACCATTTTAATGTGCAATTAAATGAAAGGGATAAAATGATAAAGGCAGTCAGGTAATTGGAGATTTGGCTTAGGCTGAGTGTGAGTTTAATACTCTACTAAAGCACGTGTAATTAGGAAGAGGATATCTTGAATCATATAGGTTTGTTTTTTGTTCTTGCTTTTTTTTCATTTATTTTAATTGTAAAGTCAGATTTACAGTGAGGAAGATCCTTCGCCCTCTGGTTCACTCCCCAAGTGGCTGCGACGGCCAGTGCTGGGCAGATCCCAAGCCAGGAGCCTGAAGCTTCTTCCAGGTCTCCCACACCGGTGCAGGGACCCAAGGCTTTGTGCTGTTCTCAGTTGCTTTCCCAGACCACAAGCAGGGAGCTGGATGGGAAGTGGAGCTGCCGGGATTAGAACCAGCGCCCATATGGGATCCCGGCACATTCAAGCCGAGGACTTTAACTGCTAGGCCACCGTGCCGGGCCCAAGTCATGATCATCTTTGAATGCCTGTTGTCCGCCTTCTGGGCCCTTGCTGTCCTCAGCGTGTCAGCCCACAGGACCCTCAAAGTCCCAGCAGAAAAGCAGGGGGCCCGCATTTCATAACTACAGAATTAGATCCTTCACAGATGCTTATAGACTTAATAATAACCACCTTGTAAAATGTAGAAATGGGGCCCTATACAATGGCCTAGTGGCTGAAGTGCTTATCTTACACATGACAGGATCCCGTATGGGCGCTGGTTCTAATCCCGGCAGCCCCACTTCCCAGCCAGCTCCCTGCCTGCGGCCTGGGAAAGCAGTCAAGGATGGCACAAAGCCTTGGGACCCTGCATCTTTGTGGGAGACCAGGAGGAAGCTCCAAGTCCCTGGCTTTGGATTGGCACAGCACCGGCCCTTGTGGCTGCCTGGGGAATGAATCAGTGGACAGAGCATCTTCCTCTCTGTCTCTCCTCTTCTCTGTATATATGACTTTACAATAAAAGTAAAGTAAATCTTTTAAAAAAAAAAAGGTAGAAATGAAGATTGGTGTTAGGGAGACATCAGTGCAGAAACTGACCTCGAGTTTGTTGATTTTTTTTTTTCGTGAACGTGTTCCTTCCGGGCCTGCACCTCGGTTGCTGTGGAGCTGGCACAGTTCCTCTGACTTGAGAATTGGAAAAGTTTGTGTCTTGCACAGCCTGTGCCATCAGGCGTGTTTGATGGTGGAGTAATTTGTAATCCTCTAAATTATAGGAAACACTAGATTTGAGATACAAATCACGGCCCCAGTTCCCCGTTAATAGCATCTAGGCATTGGGATGGGCATCTCCGTGTGGGAGCAGCGGCTGTGAACGCTGTGGGCACCATGCGGCGTTCCAGCCCTGGTGACATGGGTGTCTGTAGACACCCTGGTGTCTACTGGGTGCTGGAGCTCAAAAGCCTGGGCATCTGTATGTTTGTAAGAGAAAGGGCTTGCGGGTGGAGGTGGCAGCTGCGGGACGCTGGCGTGGGGGCAGCGCGGTCGTGTGGCAGGACTGTCTGAGGCCATCCTGCTGCAGAGCCTCGCTCCGTCGCCGGAGACCGCGCAGCTGCTCCCAGCGCCCTTCCCAGCCAGGCTGCACGCAGCGGGCCGAGGAGCCCGTCACCGCAGGGCTGTGCCTGTCCGGAACAAGAAGTGAGGACGAGTGGGGACTGACTGAGCAGCCCTGGGAGGGCAGCAAGCCTTTGTTCTCAGCCTCTGCTCCAGCCGCCCGGGCCACAAGTGGAAACACTTGCTCTCCAGAGCCCTGGGCTGTTTGGGGCTAAGAATCGGCTAGAACTTTCCTTAAACTGCTTTAATAGACTGGGTGGTGTCGTCAGCCAGGGTGACGGGTTTTGATGGTATCGGAGCTGGAAGCGAAAGCTGTTTTTTTGTCCTGGCTCTTAGTGCTGGTCAGTTCTGGAGTCCCAGGTGTGAATGTGGGTGCTCAGCAGCCTCTAGGTTTAAGCTAAATTTTAAATAAGTCGGTAATTATGTATAAAAAAAGTTGTGAACTACATGCAGGATCAAATGCTGCTGATGGTTGCATTATTTGGTTACATCCTGCCCCTTTTAGGGTTTTTGAGTGAGCTTGGTCAAGTGGTTTTCCCCTGCGGTGGGCAGAGACGAGTGGGAACAGGGCTGAAATCTGGAGGGTTTTGGGACTCGCAGGTCTCGGCAGGGGAGACGGGGACCCAGCCGGAGAGCTCCCGTCAGCGCCGCTGTCGCGTGCGGGCCGAGGACACCCAGGTGGGTGCACGGATGTGGAGGCACTGGCGTGCTTTGTGTCATTGCAGTCAGTAACAGCCTTCACACTGAGAAACAGCGTTTCGGTTTCTGAGTTTGGAGAAGGAAAAGGCAGACAGACAGACAGGGAGTCTGGTCTCTGTAAACAACGTGTCGCTGGGTCTCTGAGGACTTAAAATTTTCTAACTCTTATCTGTTAATTTCAAATACATTTTGAGAGGGTTTAAGGGTTTAACATTTTGAGAGGGTTTCTAGTCTGTGTATCTTACACTAACTAGTTGATCGGAATTGTGAGGAGGATAGTGAATCTTGCGTCTGTTTCTTCAAGGCAAGCGGATGCACGTGCAGTTGTCCACCAGCCGGCTCAGGACTGCGCCCGGGATGGGAGACCAGAGCGGCTGCTATCGGTGCGGGAAAGAGGGGCACTGGTCCAAAGAGTGCCCGGTAGACCGGACGGGCCGCGTGGCGGACTTCACTGAGCAGTACAATGAACAGTACGGGGCAGTGCGCACGCCGTACACCATGGGCTACGGGGAGTCCGTGTATTACAACGACGCCTACGGAGCCCTTGACTACTATAAGCGCTACCGCGTGCGCTCGTACGAGGCGGTGGCGGCGGCGGCAGCTGCCTCTGCGTACAACTACGCGGAGCAGACCATGTCCCACCTGCCGCAAGTGCAGGGCACGGCCGTGACCAGCCACCTCAGCTCCACCTCCGTGGATCCCTACGACAGACACCTGCTTCAGACCTCGGGGGCCGCCACCTCAGCCGCCATGGCCGCCGCCGCCGCCACCTCTTCCTCCTACTACGGAAGGGACAGAAGCCCCCTGCGCCGCGCTGCCGCTGTGCTCCCCACGGTCGGAGAGGGCTACGGTTACGGGCCCGAGAGTGAGCTGTCCCAGGCGTCGGCGGCCGCGCGGAATTCCCTCTACGACATGGCCCGGTATGAGCGGGAGCAGTATGCGGACCGGGCGCGGTACTCAGCCTTTTAAAAACTGGAGGTGAGAGCTGGCCGGGTGGGCTCAGAGATTCTGTTCCGTCGGTATCCAACAAGCACCGCTGCTTCCGAGAGGAGGCCGGAGACGCCGCTTGGCTTTGGGGCGGTAGCCAGGGGTACAGACGGCAGGCAGTGAGGACAAGCTGCCAAGCTCCCCAGGTTGTAACGTGGCTAACTTGTTCCTTCTGAGAAAACGGCAAACTAGTTTGCTAGTCATATTTAATCCGTTGTAAGCAGACTTGGTACAGAAAAATAGAAAACCAGCCTATGTTAAGACTGTTGCTCCAAGGTAGGAGAGCTTTGCGCTCTGGGTGTTAATGCCCCCGTGGGGCTGGCCAGGTGAGCAGCCGCCCGGAGGCTGCAGGGTGCCGGGCCGTCGCCCACGGCCCCTCCTGACGCAGAGGCTTCAGGTGGTTTTTCCTTTACCAGGAAGGGAACTTAGCCACCTAAAAAATCATTTGTTAGAGGGAAGGGAGGTCCCTGAAATCAAACCCCTGCGTTGGCGCTGCCAGCCGGAGCAGAGAGCCTGGTGAGGAGGATGTCCGTCTTCTGGTTGGCCATGCAATTGTCTTGTGCCCTTAGCCTGTGTTAAAAAAAAATAACTCTTCAAATGATATTTGCAAGGCAGAAAAAGGCCCAAAAATCTGTCATGTTTTGCTCCAAGACACTTGCCTGGAAGCCACGCTGTGCCCGTGCAGCCATTTCCTCAGGAACGGCAAGCACCCTGCTCTGGTCACTAAACCCTGAGTTTAAAGCCAGAAACTTCCCATTGCTTCTGGCAACTGCTGTTTTGCAAGGAAAGAATCTAACTGGTAAACATTCTTGTGTATATAAAAGATCCAACCGTTGGATTTTAGGAAGTGAGTACTAAAGGAATTAGAATGGCAGAAATAATTAAGCCTATCCAGAGATTGATAACATTTGCAAGTAGAAATGGCCGCGTGCTACATTGTGGTCCCCTGGTCTTCCCTGCACCTTGGTGAGCATCGCTGGAGGCAGTCCTAGGAGCCAAGTTACCCAGCTGCCCCTGGGCTGGCAGAGCAGCAGGAAGCTGTGATGCCCTTGACCCTGAGGCCCGTGTGCAGCGGTACGCGTGCGGCTGCGTGTGAGGGACACGCTCGCGCAGCCCGTAGCTGTGCGCATAGCTTTTATGGCTCCTCTGTCAGGAGGTAGAAAATAACCCCAGATCCCCGCTATTTCTGCCAAGTTTGTTCCAAAGTGAAATTATGTAAATTTATTTTGGTCTGTGAAAGGGCATGGCTGGGCGTTAAGTGAAGTGCAAGCAGTGGTTGTTCAACTAACTATCTAGTGATGACTGTTGAAGAAACTCACCTTCCAGATGTGACCCTCAGATGGACTGAGTAACTCTGTGTTGGTTCAGTCCCAGGAGCCCGATGTTAACGAGGCTGCCAGGAGGAAACACTCCAGAACAGTTGGGGAGCCAAATTCGGGTCTCACCCTAGCAGAGCTGATCCAAGACCGTCACAGCTTTTGAAGTCGATTGGCACAGATCAAGACCAAGATTTGGCCCTTTGTAATAAGTAGAGGAACTTGGTGTGAGTTAACTTTTATTTTCCCTCCAGCCATTGATGTCTGGAGTTCCATCGTGACTGCAAGAATTAGAGAACTCTAGGAGTGATTCATTTTGGATTTGGCGAGGGAGATTTGGTCAGTTCGGGGAACTGTTGGCACATGACATTGTGACCTCTAGGTGTGTGGAATGACCTGTTTCTCCTTGAGACCCCATATTCTTCATGACTCATTTCTGAAAGTTTTATGTGAAATGAAAAACACACTTAGAACAGTGCAGTTGGCTTGCTGCTTATGGGATCTCGTAAGCATCTCTCACGTTTCCAAGACCCCGTGCTTAAAGTGCGCTTTCAACGGTGTGTGTGCCCTTGCTTGCTCTGGGTAGCCTTGTAGAGGCCACGCTTCCAGGGAAGAGCGGGCGATGGCTTATCGCTAGCCTAGCGGTTAGGGCTGGGTGTGCTGTGACTCCTCGGTAATTACTTGGACTGTGCACCAGTCTGACCTCCTTCTGTTCTGTTCTCTCTCTCCCCGGAACGCAGGCCGGGCCCAGGGCCCTTGTCCTCGGACCAGCCGCTCTCCAGGCCCTCAGTAAGCTCTCTGTTGTGCTCTCTTTCAGGTAGGATAATTGCGGACTGAACCCTCGGGCTGCGGTCATGTATGACAACTTGCTCCGCGCGGTCCCCTTTGCCGGGATGTTTCCATTGCTTCATGTTTCAGTAAACAAAGGAGTTTGTGACCAACTATGTTTTCTTTCTTAATTTAATTCTTCTGAGTTTTTTCTTTCCTCTTGACACTAGTGTCTGTAGCCCTTCACTCTGTTCCTTGTATCCTCAGCCTCCGAGCCGCCCTAGGTAAGGACTGCTGGCGCCCCTCCCTGTGCAGTTGGAAGCCTTCTTATCTTGCTCTCCTAGGAGTTGAGTCCTTCTCCCTGCCTACCTCCAGCATTCCCTCTCCCGAAAATGACCATGTAGTGACAAACAGCCTTTTATTCTGTTAGCTCTGGACTCTTAACACCGAAGCTAATCTTTTGAAATTGCTAGGACCATTGGGGGTTTTGTTGTTTTGTTTCGTGTCTGACCTGTGATCGTGGTACAGCATTAGCTGAAATTTAGCCTTGTTTTATTCCTCTCCTCCCACCCCCCTTTTTTTTTAAATTTTTTTGACAAATAAACATTTCTAATACTTCAATGATTTTGTTTATGACTGACATTTGTACCATTTTACCATATCTTCTGATCTTTTCCTAGCTGTACCTAAGCTACAAAAGTCAGACCACTGGGTGCTGGAGGTGTGGGTAGGGAGGGGCGGATCTCGCGAGGTGACACGGGCGCCCCAGCCTCCATGCACTTCACATCAACACAGATTTTAATTAGCACCCCTTCTGATTTTTTTCCTTCTTTGAGATTACATTGTGCTTCCCAATTATCAAAGAGATTTCTCTAGAATGTCAATATTCCGCTAGGATTATGTTTTGACTAAAATAATTATGATCGCTCAAAAGAAAGGAATTGTCATAATTGAGCAGGAAAAGAGTGGCCGTGGTCGGCAGCACTGTGACGTCACTGACTGTTTCCACGAAGGCTTGTGGACGCTCACCACTGTTTCCACAGCCCTCGGACCAGCCCAGGCGCGGACGGCCCACTGCAGGCTTCCTGTCCCCTGATGGAAACAAGTCAACGCACACTGCTTGCTAGCTCACAGCACTTTCCCCACGTTTTACACCTGTGTTAGTCCCAACAGCTGAAGAAAAATCTTCAATTTGAGATAGAGGAGGGGAGGATGGCAGAGATCTGTGCTCTGCACACACAGACACGAGTGGGAGAGGGGGCAAGGCCCGTGTGAGCTGCCGCATTCCCCGGGAAGGCAGGCCTCTTGGTTCGCAAGGTTCCCTGGCGACAGCTGCGGACATGTTTACCCAGGGAAATGTCTTGATGACACTGTCCTCTCCGAACCACTGTGTGTACCTGATACATGCCGACTACACAGCTGTCTAAGAAATGAATTTTTAATTGTTACAATTAGACACATGTGGCTAATGCTGACTTAATTGGACAGCGGATTTTTTTTTTTAAGATTCTTCTTTTATTGGAAAGTCAGATATACAGAGAGGAGACAGGAAATATCTTCCATGTAATGATTCACTCTGCAAGTGGCTGCAGGGCTGGAGCTGAGCCAATCTGAAGCCAGGTCTCCCACGCGGGTGCAGGGTCCCAAGGCCTTGGGCCGTCCTCCACTGCTTTCCCAGGCGGCAAGCAGGGAGCTGGATGGGAAGTACGGCCAACTGGATTAGAACCGGCGCCCATATGGGATCCCGGGGAATGTAACAGGCAAAGAATTTAGCCACTAGGCCCCACAGAATTTAATTCTGATTATGTACATGATCATGTATGTGTATATATAATTTTTTAAAAACATTTATTTTCATTGGCAAGGCAGTGTTAAAGAGAGATCTGCTGGTTCACTCCCCAGGTGACTGCAATGGCTAGAATTGAGCTGATCAAAAGCCAGGAGTTTCTTCTAGTCTCCCACGTGCATAGAGTCCCAAGGCTTTGGGCCGTCCTCAACTGCTTTCTCAGGCCACAAGCAGGGTGCTGGATGGGATCTAAACTGACAACCAGATGGGATCACAGCGCATGCAAGGGGAGAATTTTAGCCACTAGGCTACCACACCAGGCCCAGACAGCTTGTTAAACAGTATCGGGCGCATGCATAATGTTGTGGCTCCCCTCTTTATTTTTTTTAAGATTTATTTATTTTTTATTGGAAAAGCAGACATACAGAGAGTAGAGGGAGAGGAAGATCTTCCGTCCAATGATTCACGCCCCAAGTGAGCGCAATGGCTGGAGCTGAGCCGATCCAAAGCTGGGAGCCAGGAGCATCTTCAAGGTTTCCCACATAGGTGCAGAGTCCCAAAGATCTGAGCTGTGCTCCACTGCTCTCCCCGGCCACAAGCAGGGCCCTTGTGGGAAGCGGAGCTGTCGGGATTAGAACTGACGCCAATATGGGACCCCGGGCACGTTCAAGGCGAGGACTTTAGCCGTCACACTGTCTCACTGGGCCCAGGCAGCAGAATTTTAATGATTAAATCACTTTGGTGGGGCTGGTGTGGTGGTGTAGAGGATTAGGCTGCCACTGTAGGGGAACTGCCATCACAGGCAGCTTAACATCTGTAATGTCACCCTTACTACTTGTAACATTGAAAGAACAGAATGTTCTTTTTAAAATATTTGGTGTAAAGAAAAATTACTTGGTGGCCCGGCACCCACGTGGAAGACCCAGAGGGAACTCCTGGCTCTCGCTTTCGGGTCAGCTCGGCTCCAGCCATTTCAGCCACTTGGGGAGTGAATCATCGGACAGATCTTCCTCTCTGTCTCTCCTCCTCTCTGTATATCTGGCTTTCCAATAAATAAATCTTTAAAAAAATAAAACATCTTTATAAAAGAAATAGTAATTTTCATGAAAAGAAATAGTCTAGCAAAATTCTGTAGTGTATCCCTTAGAATCATTCTTCACGTCTTCAACTTGGATAAGACAGAAGGGAGTAAAAGTTCTGCCTGGGTCGGCAACAGAATATTCCTCTCCGAGCCTCGTTCTCCGACAATGCATGTTACAGCTGGACTCGCCCCGGCCTGGCGCCCAGGCCTTTCTCACGGGGCAGGATCCTGAAGCCTCGCCACGTGCTGCTGAATCCTTGCGCGAGCCGCTGCAGTCCTGTAGGGCAGGATCGGTGACATGGTGGTGACAGACACTCCAAGTGAGGCAGGGACCTGACCAGGTTGCTATGGAAACTTGACAGGGACTCATCCGGGAGGAGGTTGCTGTTTCGGGTGGGATTAGAACTGACATCAGGAAGCAGGAGGGCTTGCTGTGCAGAGGGACAACAGCGGGGAGGAGGATTTCCAAGATCAGCTGGAAGCTGCTGGTTTTCAGCTCAAGGTTAACCATATCAGAATCACTTTTCATAAAAGGTCATAGCAGAGAAAAAAGTCTGAGATTTTCTATTTAACAAGTCTTTCCCACCTAATCATGCAGTACATGGAATTGGCATTTTTAAAAAAAAACTTATTTTCACGGGAAAGTCAGATTCACAGAGAGAAGAGACAGGAAGACCTTCCGTCCATTGATTCGTTTTCTGTCCACTGGTTCATTCCCTAAGTGGCCACGATGGCCTGAGGCTGAGCCGATCTGAAGCAAGGAGCCTGAAGCCTCTTCCGACTCTCCTACATGGGTGCAGGGTCCCAAGGCTTTGGGCCGTCCTCCACTGCTTTCCCAGGCCACAGGCAGGGAGCTGGAAGGGAAGTGGAGCAGCTGGGTCACAAGCCAACGCCCATATTGGATGCTGGCACTTGGAGAACTGGCCAGTTGAAGCAACGTGCTGACCTCTCCTTACCTTTCAAATAAATAGAAGTGTAGGGCCTGGCATTGTAAGATAGCAGGTAAGACACCTGCATGGCATCCTATACTGGTGCCAGTTCAAAACCCAGCTGCTGCTTTTCCTATGCAGCTCTTTGCCCACGCTTCCACATGGGAAACCAGGAAAAAGCTCTGGGGTCTTGGCTTTGGGCAGGCCCAGCCTGAGCCACTGACAGAAGATGGAGGATTCCTAACTCAGCCTTTCCAACTGTAAAAAATAAAAATCAGGACTGGCACAATAGCTTAACTGGCTGGCTAAGCCTCTGCCTACATCACCGGGCTCCCACTTGGGTTCATATCCTAGCTGCTTAGTAAGGATCCAGCTCCCTGCCTGTGGCCTGGGAAAGCAGTGGAGGACGGCCCAAGGCCTTGGGACCCTGCACCCACGTGGGAGACCCAGAAGCAGCAGCTTCCAACACTCCTCCTGATGGGTGGTGCCCAGAGAGGGAGCAGGCCGCTCACAAAACGTTCATGACCTGCCAGGTGGCCCAGAAAAAGAGAGCCCCAAGGTTAAGTCTCCTGCCTGCAGATCTGGCAGGAGGAAAGGAGAACTACAGGTCCTTCCCTGGGAACAGCTCTCAAGGGAAGGTGCTCTCTGGAGCAAAGCAGGGCTGAGCTCTAAGTGGCAGAGAAGTGGAGCGCAAGGGCCTGCAGGCGGCTCCTGCCATCTGTCTGCGAGGATCCAGGCCAGGTGCAAGCCGCCATCCACTGACTGCTAGTCCAGGCACTGCCCTGTTTAGTCCTCGGACCAGGAACTGCATCTCAGCCCTGTTTAGTCCTGGGACCCGTTCAGCCCAGCACAAGGCACTAGTGAGACACTGATGGAATGGAGGTGATGAGCAAGGAGCTCAGTCAAGGTGAACCAGGCTAACTCCCTGCTTCCCTGGATGGCCCAGTATTCTGAAATATCAGTGGCAGAAGAGTGAGTGGCTAAGGAAAGTGCCTCCTCTTGGCATCTTGGATACACTGGGAATGGCCACAATGTGTCACTTTATATGGCCATATGGAGGCCCACCTGAGATCTGTTATCTGGGTGTAGGGCCAACAGTAACCCTGCCTACAACAGCAGAGGACTGGCCACGATGGGGAGAGTCTCTAGGCCCCCGAGTCACAGCAGGCAGCTCCCATCCTTGGGCAGGCTGCCTACCTGCTCCTGCTGTGACCTGCAAGAGTTCTTAGGTGTATGGCTGCAGGACCGGCAATAATAAGAGACAGTGCAGAAGCATGGGTGCACCTGGTCTGCAAGCCAGCCTCGCTGGAGCTTGTGACTTCTCAGAGTCTCCTTTTCTCTGGAATCCCCTCTCCCAATTTTACCACAATAAATGGAAATCGATCAGCAATGCAAGCCAACTGCTATACCCTGAAGAAGCATCAGTGCCAGTGCCAGTGCCAGCCCAGGACAGGGTTCCACTCTGAGGCTCACCAGCTGCTGAGTTGGAGCCTCAAATAGGCAACTGTATGCTAACCAGCTTCCAGGGAGGCTGGGACTGCAGGGCTGGCACAAGGGGGACAGCTGTTAGCATGCCCTTCCTTTCCTGGCTCCTGGCCAGGAAACAAGGCTATGGAGACAATTGCAGCCCTAACAGTGGCCATCCCAAAAGCTCTGGTCCTACTCCAGAGCCTAGCCCTGTGCTGCCTCGCACAGAAGGGGGAGGGAAAGCAGAGGTTAGACAAGAGTACTGGGGTCTACTGCTGGGCCCCCGGTAGGACACCTGGAAGAAGCTCCTGGCTTCAGGCTGGCCTAGCCCCACCCATCGAGTCACTCTCTGGAA